AATTAAAGAAAAACTAGCAATTCTGAATTTTCTGTATCCATTTATTAAAAAGCTGGCTGACAACAGAAAATTTCCGATACAGAACCTCAAGGATCTGTGTTTGTCGCACGATTTCAATCCCATAGTCGGAAGGTTTTTTTTTCTCTAAAGGTTTATTCTTTGCTTTCATGATATTTGGTAGTGTAGCATATCTAGGTTCGTTTAACCTTAGATCAGCACTTATCACAGCTGGTGTCTTTATTCTTATCAATTCTCGACCTCCATCTACTTCCCTGAAATATTTAAATTAGCATGAAATTTATCATATGAAATTAGTAACTAACTAAATAAATACCAAACTTACCGTGTAACAACGAATGTCTTATCACTTTCTCGTTCAATCACGCTAGCATACATTGCTTGGGGCCAATTTAGTAGACCAGCAAGAAGTTGAGCTGTCTGTCCGCAATCATCATCGATTGCTTGCTTTCCAAGGAATATCAGATCTGGCTTTTCAGTCTCAGCTATTCCTCTTAGTATCTGAATCATAGTCCATTTCTGACTGAAGCTTTAAACTTCTGCTAAGTAAGATTTGAATACTGAATTTTCTTCTCTCATCAAAGGGAGTAATCTCCCTCAATAATTTTATTAATTTCAATGCCAAGATCTTTAGAACTTTTATTTGCATAATTTGATTTATTTTTCTTCTCCTGCAATTAAAAATTTATTAACTTTAGCGACAAGCAACGGTTCAATCTTTTCAGCTGTTGCTTCTTCCACCTCAATATGTATGGCTCTATCCGCACCTTTTGCTAATGCCGTACGTAGCGTTTCCTGAAAAATTTTGTACATGAAGACTTATTCGGAATTCGAGCAGGAAGCTAAGCACGATGTGTTAAATCCAGTTTTCCTCCCAGAAACATTATCAAGTGTTGAAGTGTTGAACAGTGCTAGTTCAATGAGAAAGCAATAAGCTTTGAAGCTGTTTCTCAGAAATTAAAAATGAAAATTGTTAGACTTCACAGTTTTTACAGTGGGAATTCTAAATTTTTTAAAATTTCAGTAAAATAATCAAAAGAAAGAATAAACCTGTGATTTCGAGGATCCAAGTGATACAGCTACAACTTCTTTAACAATCTGCTTTTCTTTCAAGCGTACCGCTTCCTCCAAGGCAATCTCATCGAAAGGATTCATCGAGTGCTGTACATTCTCTTTGATCACACCTGTTTTGTCTGGTTTTACTCTTATTTTTATCGCATAATCGATCACCCTTTTAACAGCTACTAATGCTCGCATTGCTTTCGTTCACACTAGAACATACTGCAATATGAGTTCAATTTTCAAGATTGGCAATATTAGACAATTCTTAAAATTTTTGAACTTCAGAATTTTACATTTTTTTTTTTTTGAAAAATCTATCACATCTGTTGTTTGTGCCAAAGAAATTATTCTACAAATTTCAGTTCCGTGAAAATCGCTTCCCATTTTGACTGGAGATAGGAAGAGAAACAAATTGCTCATCAACTATGTGATACCTTAAAATTTCAAACACTCCCGAAAAAAGCCTCTAAGAGAATAATTTGGATCGCAAAAGAATGAAAAATGTTTATCGCAAAATGGAAACGAATGTACCAAACAGGGTGCAAAGTCCATTCCTGCACGATACCACTCGTTTTATACAATTGAACATCTTCCATTTCATACAACAAAATTAAATTTGAAGTCCTAAATACTCCCCTCCTCCTCTCTCTGTCTATTCCGCTCTCTTCCTCCATACAATCTCTTTTATCCTGCTCCCTCTCTCCATTATCGCAACTTGTACAAGCGTAAGGCAATTGGGAACTCTGCCGGATTGCTTAATATGGTATCTTGAGATCATCTCCTTGATCGTTCGGGTATTAGAATATCCATTGGGATCTCTCAGACCGCTGAGTTTTGGTCACGTGCTAGGTTTGCTGGGTTCCTATTAAATTAGTTTTCCCTTTACTTTCCATCTCATGTTTCTCGCAGGTGTATGAATATGTGTATATTCTGTTTAATTTTTTCCTCTAATAGATGTTACTATCAGTGTTGACGATACTATCGGGGAAGCAGTCGGGATTCTCTTCTCGACTTCAGAAACTCTTCCATGCTCTCTATAAGTGAATGTATACAATGGACGGGTATTACAATTTTCGAAATTTGGCTGCATGCAGTTGGTCTACTTATTTTTTCCGTTCTTATCGTAAGTGTCTTCCAATATTCTAGCACCCTTCATTTTCTATAACTTGTAAATATTTTAATACAAAAAAAAAAATATTTCAATGTAATCTGCAGGTGATGAAAACTGAAGTTTACTCCAGTCTAACCTATTGGCATGTGTTTACACCATTGTTTATCGTCACTGCACTCAACTTGTATTTCCTGTTTATTGTCCTTGTACGAGCAGTAGTAGAGGAGAAACAATGCAAGAATCCAATTTTGAGGTATTTTTTATCCTGTTCAATTATCCTGCAGCCGATTGCTTTTTCTCAAGCCGTTTCGTGCTAAGATTTCTTAGTAGGTTGTCAGAAAGAGCTACACTGCAACTCAAAAATTATTGTTCAAAAGAAGTCTTGTCTTATTTGGAATCAATTTAAATTGTATTCATTTACATCTGTCGGGAAAATAGAGATTTGTGATATTTTTAGAAATGATTCTGTTTGATAGGTTCAAAATAGTCGGCCTGTAATCGACCAATTATAGGAATATTTGGGTGATTTCAGGCACGCATTTAGCTGGTTAAGACTTGTTATGGTCGGGATATTTGAAGCGTTGTTATGTTACAAGGTGAATGGTGACTTAGAAGATGGACAAGTTGCGGTTCAATCTTCATATGGCATTGTTTTCTTGCCTGTATGGGTGCTAATGGCTGCATTATGCTTCCAAGCATTTCGTTTGTTATGACAGTGCGTTTCTTTTGAATTTCTGTGAATAACTAATTGTTGTTCTGATACATGTCATTATAATTGGGAAAGAAAATGGAAATGTTAGCTGTTTCAAAGAGGACGGATATTGATTAGGATCAGAGAAGTGGCACTTGATTTATTTTCGTGTTATGAACTGTTTTCAAAAAGACTTTGTTAGGCCTCATAAGAGTTATGTATTCAATAATGAATTATGTATTCCAAAATCCGGTCTACATTTCATGTTGTAAGCGAACATTTAACAGTGAGCTACTAATTTCAATACTTTTAGATATATAAAAAATTAGTTTAACATTTTGCTGTGCGTGTCTAAGGTAAATAATTCTACCGGCAGATTACTCATCTCGACTTCGGATGATATTGTTATTGCGATATTTTCAGTAATATCACTTTGCCAAATTTGTTGTTTTACAGATGAATTTTGCATGCCCAAATTTGCTTCTTGGATTCCTATACTACTCAATTTGTTTTTTGCGATATATAATTAGTTTTGGAACTATTTTCCATCACAATGACATTTAAGTTACACATTAACGAAATCAGGTTCCTTTTTCTTTTCCATTCGATACTTATATATTTGCTGTATATATTTAAGACTGGAAGAAATTATTGATTTTATACAGTCGTATTCTGCTGCACTAAGTTTTAAATCCAAAAGTTTCTGTAAACAAAAATCAAGTTTGTTAAATGTTCTAGAAAGCAAAAGAAGATTTCAATCTGAGAACACCTTAATCATCCTCGTCGCATGTGTCGCAGTCTAAATATTCACCGCTGATAAACGAATCTCGGCTTATCTGCTGTACTATGTATGGAAGGTTATCCCTCCAAGCTTGTCGACCCCGATCTTCTTTATTCATGTCTGGTAGCAATACTTTTACCTGCAACTTGTGTCAGTTAACTTGCATAAGTAATAACTTACAGGATTATCCAGTTATGAATATTTTTCTAAATACACTAATAGCGATTAGACTTCCAATTCTTTCTCAGATCCGATTTTTCCTTTAAAACAATTGCTTGACCAGAAACTTACTTTTTTACCTTCCTTAATCCGGACAAGCTTCTCGTTAACCTGGAAAAATTTCTGTCACTCGAAAAATTTTTTTTGGACTAAACATATGAAATTTTTTACATTTTACAAAGCCGAACTTCTGAAATTAGCATATGCTCCAAATAAAATGGCTGGGTCTTGTCAATCTTAATTTTTTATCAACATTTAAAAAGGAAAGCATACTAACAAACGAAAGAAAACAAGAATATACCCTTAACTCAGATCTATCTTCCAACATTTTTATAACAATTCTTGCAATATTTTTAGAATCATCAAGTCCAGAATGTTGGCGACCTTCAAATTTCATATTGAGAGATGTTAGCATCCCGTCCAGATTAATCTTTTGTGTCGAATGCCCTAAATTTAAAACTTTATTAATTGTTAGTGGTTTGCTCTATAGAGTCAGCAGGTCAAGTTGGATTGACTTAAAGGAAACAGTAATGAAATTAATATTCACAATGGAATTAATTAACATTACTTTTACAGTATTTATTTGCGAACGATCTTCGGATATTAATATAAAAGCGAAAATCGTGAGGAACGGCACTTAAGTTACTCTGCAACATACAAAATAGGATTAACAGAAACACTTTAGCGAGATCGTTCGAATTCGAAATTTATTAATAAGAAATGTATTGAAATAAATAACCTGAATGCACTGCATTTGAAAAAACTTAGCGATGTCCCAAGGCCTAGAAATATATCAACAATAAGCCAAAACAAGAAAAAACGCAGAATGAAATCAATGTGGAAATTGGTGATTCATTGAATCATTACATTAGTCTCTGAAGTCATTTGGCAACTAATTGCAATTGATTTTATTGAAGCAGTATGTGTTTCAGAATTTTCTATTTACGCGTCTCTGCTACCTCTAATAAAATTTACGACATGAACAAACCCGTCAGTTACGAAAGCGTAACGCACGTCTTTTTGTCCTAAGCGATGTAACTGCATCCAAGCTCGGAAGGAATCCAGTACATCAATGAATGGTAAAGATTTGTCAACCATTTCTTGAGTAATACCCGTAAATGAAGAACAAAATTCACTAAGTTGTGGATTCACTACTGGTCGTACGTACGAATGGAAAACGTCTACCTGGAAAATAATTCTTCAAAATTAAAATACAGAGAAATAGAATATCTCTGAGGGAAATCAAGTAAATAGCCATAACTTCTAATTTTGTGCACAGGATGTGGATGAATATATTTGAAACGAAAAGATGAATACTGAGGCGATTCGAATTAAATCAAGACGTTAACTAAAGTGTAATCCTACGAAGACATTCTTGAGAGAAAAAAACTAATAGCTACAAGTGTGGGCAAATGGCTTAAAAACTTTTAAAATTAGTAAGTAAACATAACGGTTCACAATGCTTACGATTTCTTTTTTCCGTATATCGACAAGAACGGCTGGAAATTCGATAATTTCATGATTGTAATCGTAGAGGTCGGCTTCACATGTGCATTCAAAATCTATCACCTGCAAGAAATAACTATTAATTTTTTAAAAACTAAACTGAAAAACATGTGAACGGTAAAAGTGATAGAACAATGTTTTCAAATACAAATATATACATTAAATAAGCATAAACATAACCTTTTTTACATACACAAACTTTCGGCTTCCAGTCCAATGAAAAGATATTCTAAATTTTGACTTCAACTCTACTACCTCCTGAAAATTCGTTTCAAAAGAAAAACTGATTGGCTTACCACAAAATAGTCATAGAATGTTTCAGTTTTATTTCGTAGGGGTTCTGCGTTTTTAATAACTGCGAATTCTTTTCGAAAGTACTTCTTCAACCTGTTGTACAGCTCACTTCGTTTTCCACTAGAGCAATGCGATTATTTTCAACGAGTAATAAATCAAAAAATAATGCGGTAAACTCAATTATGCAAAATAATTGTACTGATTAACAATTTGAAAAAAAGCCACAGACTCTATAGCTCAAAGTGACCTAAGCAACTTTCTATGTCATAAGATTCTCAATGAAATAACCCAGTAAATGAGAAACAGAAAAGTAATAGTTCTTAGATAGACGGATCTGCGACGACAGCAAATCCGATTTTTTTTCGGGATTCTTTTCAGACGAAAATTTCCAGAACTGACGTATAACAAATCAAGAAGTCTTCTCTGCCTACCGAGAATCGATATGTGCTTTCTTCAATTCTTTCTGCATTTCAGCTGTAGTCATGGAATGCAAACGCTTCATCACGTGAAGGACGTTTTTTGGATTTTTCCTCAGCGGTTCTTTGTAAGACACTACTGGCAGTACATACGGCGCATTATCATCTTCCGCTGTACTGATCTCGGAATCTGTAAGGAACCAAGTCAATTTTGCAGTTTTACTAAAACTCAAAAACAAAGGCAGCATTAAATTCGCATAATTTATAATACAATCATAACAAAAATGCTTCTTCTTAATGTCAAAACTTTTTTTGATCTTTTCAGAATTTAAGAAATCTACATTCATATGAATAAAAGTTTGCCCAGTAGTTATTTTTTTGAATAACTGAAATCGTTCTCTGTCGACTGAAATCGACAGAGAACGATTTGAACTTAGTGATGAAAACAGATTAAAATTAAGGCGTAACAAGAAGTTAATTTACTGCCTGCACCTTTTAGCTTCATTTTTTGCACCTTTTGCGATGCTTCAATCATTAGCTCATAAAATCTTTCCAGTTCTTCGTTATCCGATAAACTTTCTGCACTGGACGTTGATTTAGCCATCAGTAATACGCTGTAACAGATAAGACGATAAAACATAATTCATATGAATGATAAAGACCCGACTACGAAATAGAGGAAAAAACTTGGATGTGGAAGATGAAAAATTTGAATATGATGAAAAACGAAGATGAAACAGATCAAATGCAAGTCATCTGGCATTATCAGATATCAAAAAATTGATCGTAAACCTCCCTCTCTCTTTACCGGCAAATTTCTCATGCAATTTGCACTTCCCGTCCAAACCGAAAAAAGGACAAAGCAACCGAATGAACTGTTTGTTCTTCCTCACTCATACAAGTATGTAATGTCTTTGCATCTCTTTTCTCTATTATTACGATCTTGTCTGCTCTACAAAACATCTCTCTTCTTCACTCTCAGTCACTGCAGTGTCACTATTTACACGCTATCTCAGTGCTCAATTCCTCACCAATCTTTCGTACTTATCACTTAAGAGCTGCCTTTTTATAATTTTTTCACTGAGATAAGTTTCAAGTCTTGATAAGAGGAGAATGAGAAAAAATTGAAATTCGGATGAAGGCGTAAATTCACATTATGAATCTTTAAAAAATTTGCACGAATTTATTTGAAGTGCGGACTTCGGTCTGTTCTTGATCTTTTTATCAGCTATGCGGTCAATTCTTATGATTATGTTTTCTTGACATTATTCATTTCTCTTTTGAAAAATGTCAAGAAATCACATAATCATAGGAACTGACCGAATAGTGATAAAAAGATCGACTCTTTCTGTAACAGACAATTCGGTCATTACTTCTCAAAATCACACTTCATCAACAATAGTACCATCAATAAGTGAACAAAAATATCAAAGTATGCTTGAATTAGAGATTAAAGAAAATATTTTAGTTGCAGTAATTTAATTAATAGCCTGAGATTTTTCAGCTAATTGAAACGTATATTAAAATCCGTTTCTTTTTTTTTTAAATCCATATTCAGATCATATAAAAAGGGTCAAAAAATTTTTTTGTTGCTAGCTTTTAATGTACAAAAAAATTGGATAAAAGGTGCAAAAAAAATGGAATAAAAATGTACGAAAAAAATTGGATAAATAGGTTGCTTCATTCTGTTTTATTGTTTTTCGTGAAATCTACAAATCATTTCTTCAAAAATTGCGTCTGATGATTTTTATTTGAAAAAAAACTGGTTTCAAATACCTGTTTTTTTGGCTGACAAATTTGTTTATAACCATGTGAATCAAAAACGATGCAAGAATTTACAGGTTTATTTTGAAGTCTGATGTGACAATGACGGTAGGAACGTGCTAATGTCCAATCAGATTTAAATTTTAGCTCGCAGACATACATGGAACAATAAACTGAGTTTCTAAATCTTTCAAAATTATTTATTGGAATGAATGAATGATTTGATTTGATCGATCAATCACTGAAGACAAGTTATATTATTTTTAATATGAAAGCATCATCAATAATATCAAGAATTGATAGGGTTTCGGGTAATTTTTTTTACCATCAAAATACAAATTAAAATTCATAATTTGAGCTTGAGAAAGGTTCAAATTGGAAGCGATGATATTCTACCTAATCTTTTCATTTTGTGCTTCGGTGATGAAATTTAGGTGATTAACAAGGATGATATTCGATTTATGAATTTTATACTCTTTGCAAACCTCAAAGAGCAAACGAGTTAAATGGATATATAGTGAATATATAATATTTAGTTCTTTATGAAGAGCAAAATTTAGATATAAATATTTAGTATCAAGGTAAGACCTCTTTAGTTTGGGAACTATTATTATTACTTTTAAAAACAAAAATTGAAGAACCAAACATTTCATCAAATTTACGAAATAAAAATGGTCACAGTTGACCACTGTTTTGTTAAATGATATAAGTTATCAACATGATTGAGTGCATGAGAAATCTTGAACTGAACCAACAATTCAAATGCTTCAAACATATTTTATTGGCACAGTTTTCTACCTGGAAGACAAAATCTGACATCAAATACAGGAAAATATATCTTGATTTCAAATTGATAACATGAAATTTCAAATTTATCTTTGATCTTGATTTTTGCTTCGCAGCAAATACACATCAAAGAAAAGATAGAATGATTGCAAAATGCATATAACTATTGTGTTATATCCTTCAACTTTCTATAGTCCTTACAAGTCAGTGAACTTTCCTTTCACTTTTTCCAACTATATATGAAACTGTGTATAACATATTATATTGAACCGTTCTATCTTATATCATAACATTTTAGAGAATCAACTTTTGCGGAACATTAAAAAGAATGCAGA